ATGCCTGGCCCTCGCCAGGGCCTGCCGCGCGGGTGCGCGAGGACAACGGCGCGCATCGCGGCGCACGAAGTTACAACGTAGGTGGCCTTTAGAACACAGTCCTCCTCCTCCTCCTTCTCCTCCTCCTCCTCCTCCTCCCTTTCCCTCCCCCTCCTCCTCCTCCTCCTTCTCCTCCTCCTCCTCCTCCTCCTCCCTCCTCCTCCTCCTCCTCCTCCTCCTCCTCCTCCTCCCTCCTCCCTCCTCCTCCTCCTCCTCCTCCTCCTCCTCCTCCTCCTCCTCCTCCTCCTCCTCCTCCCCTCCTCCCCCTCCTCCTCCCTCCTCCTCCTCCTCCTCCTCCTCCTCCCCCTCCCCCTCCTCCTCCTCCTCCTCCTCCTCCTCCTCCTCCTCCTCCTCCTCCTCCTCCTCCTCCTCCTCCCTCTCCTCCTCCTCCTCCCTCCTCCTCCTCCTCCTCCTCCTCCTCCTCCTCCTCCTCCTCCTCCTCCTCCTCCTCCTCCTCCCCCTCCTCCCCTCCTCCCCTCCTTCTCCTCCTTCTCCTCCTCCTCCTCCTCCTCCTCCTCCTCTTCCTCTTGCTTCTCCACACATAAGCACACATAAGCAATTGCCCAGTGCGACCCTACCTAGAAGTTGGAGCCCCTAGGACAGCAGCATTAGTTATTATGTTATGCTATGGTGTACTATGCCATGTTATGCTGCGCTATGCTATGCTATGATATGCTATGCTATGCTATGCTGTGCTATAATATGATATGCTATGCTATACTATGCTATACTATGATAAACTATGCTATGACATGCTGCGCTGTACTATGCTAAGCTATGCTATGCTATGCTATGCTAAGCTGCGCTATGTTATGCTATGCTATGCTATGCTATGCTGCGCTGTGCTATGCTGTGCTGTGCTGTGCTGCGCTATGCTATGCTATGCTATGCTATGCCATGCTATGCTGCGCTATGCTATGCTATGATGGGCTATGCTATGACATGATGTGCTTCGCTATGCTATGCTACGCCATGCTATGCTATGATGTGCTCTGCTATGCTAAAACTCAGCGAAGCTAAGTTGACGGTAAGCTAAGCTAAGATAAACCTGAGCTAAGATGAAGCTAAGCTAAACTAATATGACATAAGCTAAGCTAAGATGAGATAAGCAGCGCTAAGCTAAGGGGACGTAACTGGGGGAACCGCGGGGCGGATACTGGGGGAACCGCCCGGGGCGCTTTCCACTGCCCGGCCCCTTTCAGCCCAGAGAGTAAAAACCCTTCTAGGCAGAGCCTAGGTAGGGAATAAAAAGCAACAACACATTGAAACAAGTTACAACGTAGGTGGCCATGGAGGGCGGGGAAGCCGCCCTTGTCGCCACGGTCAGGGTTCCCCTCGCCCAGGCCCTACCCTCGAGTCGCGCACATTGCACGACGGACGGTTTCTCGCTAGTTTCGCCTTCTGGAGGCCCTTACCAGGCCTCGGGGCCGTCCAAGAACGACTCAGGATGAAAAACCGGTTCAGGCGAATGTGAACAAATCATGAAGTCGGGGGTCTGGGACCCTTTTCCCTGTCCTGTCATGTCCCTTCTGCAGTGACCTGACCGGAGCACGAAGGGTTCTCATTTAGCGGGCTTCGAAGCGGATGGGGAGGAGGAACACAGGACCCGTCCTGTGTGGGAGGTCTCGGGATGGTCCGTCCCTTGCGGGGGCACGGATGGAAGCGCGCGGGCACGATGGAGTTCGGCCCAGTCGGAAGAAGGCGTTGTAACACCAGTGCCGTGCACTGACACGATGTGTCTCGTTTTGTTGCCGATCGTGACCGTTTCTCAAGCCAAGGTTTGCAAGGCATTTCCCCCATGGCACCCGTGGAATCTACGAACTTCTCCCCGAGGGCAATGGGTTGCTGCTGGTTTCGCGTGGTCCCCAGACCGTTTCGATCACACCCTGGCAACGCTGTCTGTTACATCCAGGCAGTCCGACCAGACAGAGCAAACTTAGACGGGCATCGAGACTTCGAGTCGAAGTTGCGAAAGCTCAGGTCAAGATTGCCTCGAGACTGGGTTGCTTTACCCCCCCTCCCGTTGCTCGAGGTCGCCCCCGCATTCTTCGAGTCCTCCCTTCTAGAGTCAGCGCAAACGGATGCAACATGCAATTGCGACGCAATTGCAACATGCAATTTCGAACGCGATGTTAATTCTCCCCTCTGCGACGAGACAGGTTGCGCCATGGGTTGCGGCCGTAGGTTTCGCCTCACGTGCCGCTGATGTTTCGCTGCCGGAGGTTGTGGCCCTGGATTGCGCCGTGAGATTGCGTTGCGTCGCCTTGCTTCTCGTTGCTGTCAGCAACTTAATTTGGATTGCATTAGAATCGCTGATGAGTGTTGCGTCGGTTTGGGCTGTTTTACATTGCATTGCTTCGCATCGTTTTGCATTGCTCTGCGTGGTGGGTGCCGTAGGACCCTGGACGTGGGGCCCCGCCGAGTGGCAATACTTTCATGTTTGAGGTCCACGCTCGAATAGGCCCACCGAGGATGTCCCGATTTGGTTGTGCGGGGGGGTGTTTGTCGCAGCCCATGGGTCAATTTATGGAATGTAGGCTCATTCGGAAAATCGCGATTTGGTTGTGTGGCGGGGTTTCTGGAGCAGTCTACGGCGCAACTTCTGCTTCGCCCCAGAAATCACGATTTGGTTGCGTGACGGAGTGTGTGCCGCGCCGCGTGAACGCAATTTGTCTCACATTGGACGTCGTGATTTCGTTTCATGGCGGGGGGTCTGCCGAAACCCACGGCGCAACCTGCGGCGCATCCCGTCAGACGTAGAGTTTCCCGTGGATTTCGGCTTGGCTGTATGACGGGGTGCCTGCCGCAGCCTATGGCGTGACCAACTGCGCATCCGACCACAGGGAGACTCGCCTACGAGATCGCGATTCGGTTGTGTGACTGGGTCTCTGTGTCAACCTGCGGTGCAAGCTGTGGCAACACACTCATTTGGGAAATTGTGATTTGGTTAGGCGACGCGGTGTTTGCCCCTCTTGCTGCCACTTTGGGGCATCTTGGATGCCCTTTAGTGCCAACTTGGGCCATTCTGTGTGTGTGTGTGTGTGTGTGTGTGTCATCCTAGACGCTGCCTTGGGCTGTCACGGGCCATCTTAGAACCGTCTTGGACGCTCCAGTCCATCGCGACTTCCCTCCGACCAGGCTCCTTTGGATGGGGGGGTTTTGGGGAACGGGTAGACCCTTCCCGAAAGGATTAGAAGAGGTTATTCTGGAAGAGCTGCTTCTCCAAGCAACCGACGCTCAGAGGACGGGTCGGACTTATGTCATCGTCAAGTGAGCAACGCAATTTATTGACGCGAGGGGGCAACGCGGAAGCTGGTTGAAATCAAAAGACAGAGATTTGGTCCCTTCCCAAGGTCATGCAGTTGTTCACCATCGGCGTCGCGAAGGTTGTCAAAGACGGCAGAGTGGTCGTCAACGATAAGGGGGAGGACGTGCCGACCTACACCAATGAGAACATCATAAATTTCGCCCGCGTCTTCACCGGGTTCGTCCGCTGGAACGACATGCGCATGAACATCGAGCTGGCTACCGAGGGCTCGACTGCCAACTACATCGACCCCATGAAGATCCGAGGCAGGCCCCACGATATCTATCCTAAGCCAGACCTGTACAGCGGCTACCTCGGCGACGGGTACCCCGTGTGCAGCAGCATGCCTGAACGCCCCTTCTGCTCGCTGGAGCCCGGTTCGAATTCCGCGGCCAGTCAGCGCCGAATTGCACGGAACTCGACGTCTATTACGACCCGCGGGATATGGCCGGCCAGTTCCCAAGCACGACGCAGGATTCGGATGCCTGCCAGCAGCGCTGCAAGTCCGTGAGCGGCTGTGCGCACTTCACGTTCAGGGTCTTCGATAAGAGGTGCACCCTCGCAGACAGCGGCGCGCGTGCGCTTCCCAGCTACGAGCAGTATTCTGGTCCGCCAGATTGCGCCCCCCTCGTGTTCGAGCCGAGTGCCAGTTCGAGCCTGCTGAGCGCGCTGTGCGGCGGTGACGAAAGCGACTGCAAGTTCGCCCCCTCGCGAACTTTGCCGTCGGCCTTGCCATGCCACGGCTCTGAGTGTTCGCTGGAGTCGCTCACCTACGTTAAAGTACCCGGCGGCTACTACGAGTTTGTGCCGCCACCATGCGTGCACATGTTCTTCTACAACGGAAGGCTCACGGAGGACGGCCAGTGGTGGGGTTCGTCGGTATATTACTTCGGGCGTGAGTGCGTGCAGCCATATGGTAAGCTTGCCGCCGCGTCCTGCTGCAGGGGCTGTACGAACGATGAGAACTATTGGATGCAGCTGAAGGGTTTCACCTGCTTGAACCACAACACGACATGGCTCACCTGGCCAGACGGCCTCCCAGCGATGACCATAGAAAAATGCAGGCACGGGGATGAGTACAACTGGCTGGGTCCCAAGGCTTGCCGGCTTTCATGCTGGGAGGGGGGCGCGGGCTATGAGGGCGACGATTGCAGCGAGGGCGCCTACGCTGAGAGCCGCGTCTGCGGCATCCACGTCAGCGCCCACGACGCCGAGAGCCACTGCGCCAGCCTCGGTATGCACGTGTGCGCGGAGGAGACCAAGCAGGAGTGCGCCCTGCCAGCGGAGCGCGTGTGGACGCCCTCCCCGTGCTCGCTCGTGGCGACAGTCCACGAGGACGGCATGATCAGCGCCCACACGCTTAATCACGCCCAGAACAGGTTCATGCCCATCTGGGCGGATGGTGGCCCCCCGCCTGCGGGCGACTACAACGTCACGGTGGAGGCCGAGCCGGTGTTCACCACCGTCCCGACCAAGGCTGAGGCGGTGGCTGACCTGAAGATTCTCGTGTTCGAGGTGCCCGGCGGAGCCCAGTGCGCGGCGCCGTGCAGCGGCGAGGTGAGAGTTTGGGGCGCTGATCCCCCAGACGCCGACACCGTCTTCGAGGTCGACGGCAAGCTCTACAAGAACGAGCGGAGCATGGTCCGCGTGGGGAGCGCCTCCTTCCGCAACCCGCCGGCCTTCATCGCCCCAGGGGCGCTCCGCCAGACGGGCCGGGCGCTGGAGCGTGCCGCGCACGCGGAGGTCGAGAGCCTGTTGGACCACCTGTTCTATCACTCTAACACGCCTGTGGTGGTCAGCCGCAAGCTGATCCAGCGCTTCGTGACCTCGAACCCGTCTGGTGATTACCTCGAGGCCGTGGCGACGGCTTTCTCCACAGGTGCCTACGACGGCCACGTTTATTCTGGCAAGTATGGGGATCTCGGGGCCACGGTCGCAGCCGTCCTGCTCCACCCGGAGGCCCGGTCCGCCGACCAGAACACCGTGGGGCTGCTGAGGGAGCCGATGCTGAAGCTCGTGCACTTCATGCGGTCCATGGAGTACGCGGACAAGGAGGACCAGATGGTCGTCACGCGGAACCTGGACATGGCGATCGGGCAGTTCCCCTACAGGTCCCCGACCGTCTTCAACTTCTACGATGCCCTGTACGCGCCGCCCTCCTTCTCGGGGGTGCAGCAGTCCATGATGCGGCGGGACGCGAAGCTTCAGGGTACCAACGTATTGATCGAAATTGTGGGCGACGGAACCGACGAATCCTGCACCGATGCTTCGCTTGGAGCTGCTTGGACAAAAGTAGAGAATGGACAAGCCTCTACAATCGAGTTTCAATGCGGGCCTCCTGGGAGTCACGTCGTCATCCCTTTGAGCACACACCGCTCCATCGCGAGAGACATCACCCTGCGAGTGGATACAGCGTTGTATGCATCTGTCACTTTGGATGGTCAGGGAATTAACCGAATCTTCCTGTTCGGCAATATCGGCTTTCTTGGCGCGTACGGCCGGATTTTTGCAACTAATCAGCGTGTCGTTATCGAGGGTTTGCGTTTCGTGAATGGCCGAGGTAATAGCGGAGGTGTGTTTTACAACTACGGCTCTGGTGGGTGCTTGGCATTTGGCTATGGCGCGGTGGTCGCGATAAGGCACTCGTCATTTGAGGGTTGTACTGCCGCTGATTACGGTGGAGCGGTGGATGCTGAACCTGTTATCATGGAATTGGAAAATGTAGATTTCATTGGGAACAGCGCAGCAAATGCTGGAGGCGCTCTTGCAGTCAACATGCAAGCAGATGGCACGTCTGCCGCCAACATTGCAAGCCAACGCTTGAATATTACTTCAGTGACGTTCAGCAGCAATCAGGCAACCGATTTCCCTACTGTGTTGGACCGGTCGCTCAATGGTGGAGGTGCAGCCAGAGTAATATGCACGATGGGTGGTTGCAGTGCGCCCCTCGAGATGACCGGTGTCACAGCAGTTGGCAACAGTGGAGGGAATGGGGGAGCATTCATCTTGTACTCACTGCAATCGACGCTAAGCTGCCTCACTTTAACCTCGAACACTGCGTTCGGTAACACTAAACTGGACGGCAGCCAGGCGGCTGTCGGTGGCGGCGCTATCTATTTTGGAAGCGCTGGTCCAGTTAAAATAACTCACAGCAGTTTCACAGACAATGTGGGCAAATTGGGTGGAGCTATCTTCAACCAGAATGGGAACCTGGATATTTCCGACACAACCTTCGAAGGGAACAGAGCAGTATCCCAGATGACAGTACTGGCCACATGGAATAATGTGCAAAACGATTGGTGGGGCGGGGGGCATGGCGGTGCTATCTTGAACGAGTTGTGGGGTCCGCCCGGCACTCAGACAGGAAATCCGCTGGAGCACACGTACATTTACGCACGTGTATCATTTAAGCAAAATGTGGCCCAGCACACAGGTGGAGCTGTTGCCACTGGTCTGTACGATGACAGCCCCACGTATGCTTCGACGCACACGATACTCTGGGATCAATGCTATTCCTGTGGAAACATGATAAGCAGAGACGATGATGACGACGCTCAGCAGGGGGCGGCCGTGATGACTACTGGTGGACACGTGCACTTTCAATCGTGCACGCTTTCTGGCAATGTTGGGCCACAAAATGGAACAACCTTCCGCGATGAAATGCACACGGTCAGCCAGGCGGATCAAATTAGTGCCATCTACGACGATACTTCTATTCCTGGTCGCGGGGGTGTTCCTGTGGCGGCAGCTGCTTGTGTTGCACAGAGCATCGCTGGGAGTCTCGTGCCGCAGTGCGGTAGCGCTACGACATCGACACCGTCCTCGGCTCCTACTGCATCGCCGACCGTCGCCCCAACGTCGACTCCCACGTCGTCTTTGGCTCCCACGTTGTTTCCCACGTCGGCTCCAACATCGGTCAGCAGCCCGACGCCAGCTCCAGAGCCGGAACCTCAGCCCGAGCCGTTTGTCGGTCCCGAGTTCCAGATCTTCACCCCGCCCTGGGCTATCGGGTTCCTGAATGGCGTGGCAGGGATAATGGACCGCGGCTACAGCCCCTGCGGCGACGGCTTCGGGGTGGGGTTCGCTGTGAACCAGTATACTGGAAGCTTCGGCAAAAACTATGGCAGCGCCGACGCGCTGGAGTGCCACGAGGGGGACCTGCTCTACGCCGCCAGCGGTGCCTCGGCAGCGGACGTCGTGCAAGAGCTCGATTTGCTGCTCACTGGCGGCCGCCTCACGCCCCACAACAAGCAGGTGGTGGAGGCCGCGTACGCAGGCTCCGGGGTCAAGGGGGCGCAGCAGGCGATCGTGCTGACGCCCGAGTTCCAGACCCTCGGAGCCCCGCAGCCGAACGGCACACGAGAGGCACAGCCCGAGGAGGTGGCCCACACGCCAGAGTCGTACCGGGCGCTGGTGATGCTGTTCATGCACGGCGGCGCAGACACATACAATTTGATCGTGCCGATCGGGTGCTCCTTGTACAGCGAGTACGCGGGCACACGCGGGAACATGGGGATCAGCCAGGCGAGCCTCCTGCCCATCACGACGGCCGGACAGGCGTGCGCCACGTTCGGCGTGCACCCCTCCATGCCCTTCCTGCAGCAGCTCTACGAGTCGCGCAAGCAGGCCGCGTTCGTCAGCAACATCGGTGCCCTGGTGGAGCCGACCACCAAAGAGGCGTGGCAGAGCGGCGAGGTGGACCGGTGCCTGGGCATCTTCTCCCACAACCACCAGCAGAACGCCGCGCAGACGCTCAAGTGCCAGGAGGCGGGCGCGGTGCCGAGAGGCGTCGGCGGCCGCGTGGCAGACGTGCTGGCGTCTACGCACAACAGGGCGGTCGCTTCGTTCTCCGTATCGGGAATATCCACGTGGTCCGTGGGCTTCAACACCAGCACCGAGATCATCCACCCAGAGAAGGGCGCCATACGCTTCGACAAGTTCCAGGAGTGGAGCGGCACCATCGACTCTATCACCCAGCAGAAGTACGGCAATGTCTACTGCGAGGAGTACGCGACGTCGTTCGCCGACCACATCAGGAGCAGCGAGGAGTTGGGGACCCTTTTTGACCAGGTGGTGCTCGATACGGAGGACACCTACCAGACGGATGGCTTCCTCGCGCAGCAGCTCCGCCAGGTCGCGCGCCTCATCAAAGGCCGCGGCCTGCGGAATGCGGAGCGGGACTTTTTCTTTGTGCAGTTGATGGGCTTCGACACGCACGGCAACCAGCTGGATAACCAAGTCGGCCTTACTCCACTCTTTGCCGCAGTGGACGACGCGTTGAAGGACTTTGTGGGAGAGATGGACGCGCAGGGCGTCTTCGACAGTGTGGTCGTGGTCTCCCAGTCGGACTTCGGGCGCACCCTGACGTCGAACGGCGCTGGTACCGATCACGGGTGGGGAGGGAATCATTTTGTTCTCGGTGGCAATGTTCGCGGCGGACAGGTTCTGAACGAGTTTCTGGATTCTTTCGTGGAGACTCCCGACCACGATTACCACGTGGGGCGCGGGCGCACTATTCCTAAGTACCCGTGGGAGAGCATGATGGTACCTATCGCTGAGTGGATGGGGCTTGTGCATGGACACGACAAGGCGTTTCCCAACTTACACAGGTTCAACTCCTCTGAACACATCATCCCCGCCGCCACACTCTTTGACATGACTCCGACGCCTGCGTCACCCATGACGCCAGCACCGACGTCAGTAGCGACGCCAGCACCAACACCGCTTCCGACGGGAAGTCCAACACCAGCTCCGATAGGAACTCCGACAGCACCGCCGACGCCTGCTCCAACTGCAGCTCCTCTCTCGACGCCAACGACGGTTCCAACAGTAGCTCCGACGGGGACTTCGACAGTATACCCGACACCAGCTCCGACGCCTGTGCCGACGGTATCGCCGACTGCAGTGCCAGGAGTACCGACAGCAACTCCGACGGCAGCTCCGACAGCAGTTCCTTCACCCACGGCGGCTCCGACGCCGTCCCCAACATGGCCCCCCACGGAGAAGCCGGCCAGAGCCGACGACGCCAGGTTCCTGCTGCAGGCCACCTTCGGGCCGACGAAGGAGTCCCTGGATGAGCTGCAGGGGAAGAGCTACGACGCGTGGATCCTGGAGCAGATGCAGCTGCCGGCGGGCTCCCACCGAGAGTACTACCGGAAGCGCGTCAGCCCACGGAAGAACAGCGAGTTCGCGTACATCAACTTTGATGAGAGGGACATCTGCGCGAAAGGCTCCCGCTGGCACGGGTACGCGTTGACTCGAGACGACATCGGGTCGAACATCTTCATCAATGGCGGAACGGTCACGGTCGGTGCTGAGGCGCGAACGGACATCGACCCTGGGTACGCTCTGAACGGCCTCAGCGCGCCGATGTCTGATTGCACGGACGTGCAAACACCGTTGTGGGCCTGGCAGGCCACTCCCTGCACCACCAATGGGGGCGTTCATCTCAATAACTGGTGTAAGTACGACCCCGAGTGGGTCGCCGGCAAGCACTGTCAGCAGAGCTGTTTTGACTCGGGCAACGGCTACGACGGGGACGACTGCTCGGGCGGTTGGCAGCGCCGGGAGGGCTTCGGCGGCTTCGTCTGCCTGGTGGAGGAGGCGGTCGGCGGGGTGGTCGCACTGGGCACGAGCCACGCCTGTGGGCCTGGGGAGATCAGGGGCAAAGGTGGGTGGGGTAGGCTCGGGGGGGAACGCATCGACCCCAATCGCCCGTTGATCCTCGAGGCGGGTCTGATAGTCCCACCCTGCCCAGGGGGGTGCGGATTCACTACCAGCGGCCTATCGCCGATCTATCGGCGATGTATCGTCGATTCCAGGTCGCTGTCCCCCCCCCCGAGCCAGTCCTCAGACATCCGATGTTCCCCAATCAGAGCTTGCCTCTGTAGGGGTCCTAGCGGATTTAAGGGTAGGTGAGGTTTGCCGCCGATTCGGTGGCCGGGCCCGGGTGCCCGGGTGCCTGGGTGCCCGGGTTCGCCGCCGATTCGGTGGCCGGGCCCGGGTGCCTGGGTGCCCGGGTGCCCGGGTTCGCCGCCGACTCGGTGGCCGGGCCCGGGTGCCCGGATGCCCGGGTGCCCGGGTGCCCGGGTGACGGGTGCCCGGTGCCCGGGTGGGTGCCGGGGTGCCGGGTGCCGGGTGCCCTGGTGCCCGGTGCCCTGTAGCCCTATAGCCTTCTAGCCCTATATCCCTGCTCTATAGCCCTATAGCCCTATAGCCCATATAGCCATATAGCCATATAGCCCATATAGCGCCCAAGAGCCCATGTAGCCCTGTAGCCCTAGAGCCCTACAGCCCTAAAAAGATAATGATTGTTTTTTCTATGTTGTTTTGTTTGTTTGTTGTTTTTTGTGTTGTTTTGTTGTTGCTGCTGTTATGGTTGTTTGTTGTTGTCGTTGTTGATGTTGTTGTTGCTGTTGTTGCTGTTGTCGTTGTCGTCGTTGTCGTTGTCGTTGTCGTTGTTGTTGTTGTCGTTGTTGTTTTTTTATTGCTGCTGCTGCTGTTGGTGATGCTGCTGTTGTTGTTGTTGCTGCTTTTGCTGCTGCTGTTGTTGTTGTTGTCGTTGTTGTTGTTGCTGTTGTTGTTGCTGTTGTCGTTGTCGTCGTTGTCTTTGTCGTTGTCGTTGGCGTTGCCGTTGTCGTTGCTGCTGTTGTTGTTGTTGTCGTTGTTGTTGTTGTTGTTGTTGCTGCTGCTGCTGCTGCTGCTGTTGTTGTTGTTGTTGTTGTTGTTGTTGTTGTTGTTGTTGTTGTTGTTGTTGTTGTTGTTGTTGTTGTTGCTGCTGCTGTTGTTGTTGTTGTTGGTGTTGTTGTTGTTGTTGAACATTATTTCTTCTTAAGAATAATTATTGTTGGGACCCCTGGTGCGCGGCCCCCCCGCCGCGCCTAGGCCGCAGCCTCATTTTCATCATTTTCGTGAGGAAGTCTCAGGCAAAACGATGTGTACCAGATCCGGTTGTGTTGTTACGACCGGTTTTCCCTTGCAAAAAATAAGCTAAAGTGGACATTTCTTGTTCTAACATAACCAAACTTCAAGAATCCCTTGCAAAAAATAAGGTAAAGTGGACATTCGCGCGCGCAAGACGAAATCCTTCCAAAACCTTAGTTTTCGTAGCGATTTTAACATAAAAACATCAAAACACCAATGGTTTTTCAACAAAAAATTGTCAAAATTTCATCCCGCGCGCTCTTGCGGATTCGTAGGAAACCCAACACTTTTTAATCATTTCTGTCAAACGGGCTTTTGCGAGCAACTTTTTCGAACTTCTGCAACAACGGTTGCGCACCTGCCAGGGCCATCATCCCTGTCAAATAATACCATGCGGGACACATTCGTTTTTTCTTCGCGCGCGCACGCCGTCGTCGTCGGCCGCGGGGCCCTGAATAGTAGCCACGGTCGTCCGCATGCCACGAAGTGAAGTGTCCGAACGTCATAGGGCGGGAAGCTGGGTGTGGGTGGTGGCGAAGAGTCGTTTGGAAATTTGGTAGAGCTTGAACCGGCCCCCCCACAAAGTGGGGGTATTGCCCGCCTCCTATGAAAACCCTGGCACTGGTGAGAACGGAGTGTCCCCACGTGCTAGTAATTGTTGTTGTTGTTGTTGTTGTTGTTGTTGTTGTTGTTGTTGTTGTTGTTGTTGTTGTTGTTGTTGTTGTTGTTGTTGTTGTCGTCGTCGTCGCCGTCGTCGTTGTTGTTGTTTTTGTTGATGTTGTTATTGCTGTTGTTTTTGTTGCTGCTGCTGTTGTTGATGATGTTGTTGATGTTGTGGTTGTTATTGTTGTTGTTGTTGCTTTTGCTGCTGCTGTTGTTGTTGTTATTGTTGTTGTTGTCGAACTCTCATTTCCGAAGAATAATTATTGTTGATCCCCCGCTAGGCGCACATGGTATTTTTCGATTGAAGTGCCCCTCTCGGGGCTCGCACCCTGTTTTTTCTCAGGGGAAATCTTGAGGCTCAAACTGTGTTGTTGGCCCCCTGTTTACAACCAACCACAACGGCTCCCGCCTGATATTTCCTCACAATTTATTGAAGAATCGCGCTCCCTCCCGAGAATTCCTCGCATTTTAGTCAGGAACCGCGCTCTCGCTTGGGACTTCCTTACACTTCATTCAGGAATCGCTCTCTTGGCGCTCTGGAGTCGCGCTTTCGCTGGAGACTTGCTTGCAATTTACTTGAGAATAGCGCCGTTGCGTTGGACTTTCCCGGAATTTACTCAAGCGCCGCGCTCCTGACACTCAGGCACCCAGGAGTCGCGCGCACGCTCAGGACTCCCTCGCAGATTACTTAGGAATCGGGATCTCGCTGCCCTTCGTGGCCTCCTCGCTGCCCTTCGTGGATCCGTTGCAGCCCTTCGTGGCTCCCTTTCTGCCCTTCGTGGCCCCGTTGCAGCCCTTCGTGGCCCCCTCGCTGCCCTTCGTGGCCCCGTTGCAGCCCTTCGTGGCCCACTCGCTTTGTTTCGTGGTCCCGTTGCAGCCCTTCGTGGCCCCCTCGCTGCCCTGCGTGGCCCCGTTGCAGCCCTTCGTGGCCCCCTCGCTGCCCTGCGTGACCCCGTTGCACCCCTTTCGTGGCCTCCTCGCTGCCCTTCGTGGCCCCGTTGCAGCCCTTCGTGGCCCCCTGTCTGCCCTTCGTGGCCCCGTTGCAGCCCTTCGTGGCCCCCTCGCTGCCCTTCGTGGCCCCGTTGCAGCCCCTCGTGGCCACTCGCTGCCCTTCGTGGCCCCGTTGCAGCCCTTCGTGGCCCCCTCGCTGCCCCTCGTGGCCCCATCTATGTATGCCCTTCGTGGCCCCCGCTCGTTCGCGCCCTTCGTGGCCCCATATGCATGCCCTTCGTGGCCCGCTATCGCCCTTCGTGGCCCCCTCGCTGTCGGCCCCGTTGCTGCCCTCAGTGACCCCGTCCTTGCTTTCCGCGGCCCAATATACGTATGCCCTTCGTGGCCCCCGCTCGTTCGCGCCCGTCGTGGCCCCATTTGCATGCCCTTCGTGGCCCCGCTATCGCCCTTCGTGGCCCCCTCGCTGTCCTACGCAGCCCAGTTGCTACCCTCGGTGGCCCCGTCGTTGCCTTCTGTGGCCCCGCATTATCTGCCCTTCGTGGCCCCCGCTCGTTCGCCCTCTTCGTGGCCCCATACGCGTTCCCTTCGTGTCCCCGTTGTCGCCCTTCGTGGCCTACTTCGTGCCCTTCGTGGCCTTGCTGTCGTTCTTTCTCTCGCTCTCGCTTTCGCTCGTCGTCGTCATCTCCACCGTCGTCGTCGTCGACATCGTCATCGTCGCCGTTGTCGTCGTCGTCGTCGTCGTCGTCGTCCTCGTCGTCGTCGTCGTCGTCGTGGTCGGTCCCCTGTCCGTCCCTCTTGGGGTCGGGTTGCCGCCGATCAGCGCTGCCGCTGGCCAGGCCGACGGTCCGCGGCCGCCCCGCCGCTTGCCGGGGCCCGGCCTGCAGGGAAGAATGGTATACCTACCAAAAAGGGGTACGATCGAAGACGAAGAGGGCGGGTATCGAGGGTTTGGGAACTTCGCGTTCACGGACGCTCGAGCCGATACAAAGCGAACAGTCTCAAAATGATTGTTGTTGTTGTCATTGTTGTTGAATTCTCATTCCAGAAGAATAATTATTGTTGATCCCCCCCGTCCGGTGCACATTGTTTTTTCCGATTGAAGTGCCCTTCCCGGGGCTCGCACCCTGTTTTTTTTTCAGGGAAAGTCTTGAGGGTCAATCTGCGTTGTTGGCCTCTGGTTTACAACAACAGCGGCTCCCGCGTGATATTTCCTCACAATTTATTGAAGAATCGCGCTCTCGTTTGGGACTCCCCTGCAATCTACCACCGGATCGCGGCTCCCGCTTGATATTTCCTTACAATTTATTGAAGAATCCCGCTCTCGCTTGGGACTTCCTTGCTTAGTATTTCCTCACTCCTTCCGTCCTTCCCTCCCTTCCTCGTCCTCCTCCTCCTCCCTCCTCCTCTTCCTCCTCCTCCCTCCTCTCGTCGTGGTCGTCGTCGTCGTCATGGTGAGCCCGCTGTCTGTCCATGTTGGGGTCGGCTTGCCGCGGGTCGGCGTGTGTATCGCCAGCGTTGCCACTGGCCAGGCCGACGGTCCGCCGCTTGCCGGGGCCCGGTGTGCGGGCCTTTGAGACGCGCGTGTTCCACTGGCCCAGGTTCTTCAGCAGGCTTCGAATGAAGGCCTCCCTCGACGAGGCCCCCGGGGCGTTCTCGCAGGTTTTCGGAGCCTCTGGAACTGCCCGGTGGTCATCGGGGCCATTCCGAGGCCCCCCAGAGGCCCTAGGAGGCTTTCGGGTGCCTTCCAATCCCCCCGCGCTTTGGTTCCGCACCAGTCTCCGCTCGTATCCACCTGCCCTCACTTTTCGACGTTGTTTCCCAGTCTTCTCAACCCTCTCCGTTTCTCTTCATTTTCATGTCGGTCGTACTCCATTGTGCTATTCCTCAGTTCTTCGCATTCTGCCCATCCCCCCAGCCCGCCCCATCCCACCCCGACAATCTCCACCCCTTCCCGCTCGCATTTCGCGTTTCTCCCAAATAATTCCCAGTCCCTCCTCCAGATTCCTCCGTGCGCCCCCTGCTCCTCCGCACTCCCCCCGGTTCGTCTTCTCCACTCCTTGCCGCTCCTCCTCCTGACACCCTACTCTTGTTCACTCTGTCCCAATCCACTCCACGTC